AACTTTTAAGAAGTTTTAACAGATCTCGTCTCTCTCGGTCGTACTCGGTTGCAAGAGTGTGAACGGGCCTTAAGACTCAAGTTTTTGCCAACTGTGTTAATTTTCTTTAATCTTGGAAAGTGCTTCCAAGATAGCAGTGCCCATGTATCCTCCCGAAGTTGCTGGTGCGTGCTTGGGACACCCTCGGAAGCTTCTGCCGTTGACATTGGAAACCTGTGGACGCACACATACTGCGGTTCCATCCTCCAGCCAAGGCTACCCGCTTGCGCTTGCACAGCTTTTGCAGTTAGTTCATGCTGAGGCGAGACGAGGTATAGTGGCATTTGCACATTCAAGATATCAAAACCCACCACACGTCGCTCCGAGCGGCATGATGATGATACCCAGGAGCTATTTCGCGTATGGTCTATAAACCTATATAATGCACGATGCTGAACCTTCCAATTTCTACATAGTTTAGAGCCGGGAAGGTGGACATGCAGCAAGGCACGCACCTGCAGTTGCATCCACTTTGACAGGTGTAATGGGCTTCCCTCCCACGGCGCCATACTTTGTCGCGCCTGGAAGGTTGGCCTGTCACACTCCTATTGACCAGGTCCTTGCCCTTGTAGAGGCACCGGGACAACACTATCAGCAGCGCGAGTCGAACTTGGCCTTGCCTATGGCCCTGTCAAATTTTTCTTCTGGTCGGGAAACCCCGCCTCGGAGGTAACGCTGCAAGTGTAAATATAATCATAAATAAATAGGTGATCAAGCAAGTTTTAGTACAGGTATAGTGCCTGGACGTATTCTCCACTGGTGCAATTGCCATCTTGTTCCTCCCATCTATTAAGAGTTGTCCCAAGGAAGCAACAATGATGTTACAAAACCGAAAGTGTCATGCTGCCGAAAGTCTGCAGTTGGTCTTCAAACCTCTCGTCAATAAGACAAGCAGGCACAAGTGCCGCTGTAATCATGGCGTCCCAACTTGTTACTGTGAAGTGACTGTGGACTGTCGAGGCACCGTAAAGAATAGTGCGGCAAACACACCGGATGACTAACCCCACCTAAACCCCCTTGACGAGTTTGTGCTAGTTTCGTAAGTGGCATCAAAGCGCCTGAGCAGGAGGCCCGTGCAGGACTTGGAAGCAAATGGCAGTGTAGCCCTGAAATGAGAGGCACTTGGAAGTGAGTGGCAGCACGGTACTCACTCGTGGCACGTGTCTCTCGCTTTCAGACAATTAAGGCTGGACCGCATGTAAGCGATTTAGTGAGCAACGAGACGAGCATCGGCAACAGCGACGGAGATTTCTCACTGTCGTTTGTAACGCTGCTCGGTCCTGGAATTACTAGAAAACGTTGCAGTGTGCCTCATCGTGCGGCTCAGCGATAGCAAAAAGGGTCGCCATCGCTTGTCCCGTCGCTCCCTTCATGGTTGTCAGCACTTGCAAAAATGTGAAGTGTGAAATTTATGTAGGGCTTTTTCCATGCCGGCTCTCAGACTGCTGGCAGAACTTTGGGTTTCAGTGAAATACGACCACATGGTTTCTCACTCTGCTTATGTACTAAGGAGGAAAGCTCACAAGGAAGTAGTTGAAAAATCAGTTCATGATCTCTTCAAGAAAGTTGTTTGAAACACCTCATTTTTAGTTGTTTTTTTGGCTGTCTACAGGGCTGTCCGACGGCACTCCACCCGTGCCTACAAGTGCCGTCCGAAAGAAAGTCCAACAGCACATGTATCCCTGGGGAGCTCGTTAACCAACCCCCCATATACATTCATGCCGCCTCGCGGTAACAGTATGCGGCTGCTAATTAGAAAACTATTAACCTACTTGGCCCCGTTGCACATGACGCCTCGCAGCGTCCAGCCCCTCTGTCCCATACCGAGCCCCGCTGTCTCCCATGTACCTCCGGAAAGGGACGCCCATAACATTTTGTTAAAGGGGCCCTGCAATCATATTTAAGCGCCTACCTTCTTTGCGGTTTCCACGTCTCTTGGGGTTCGGGCAAGCCAGCGGGCACGGAGAGAGTCACTAAATATCAGTGAGTCATATTTTAACCGGAAGATGCGGAAACCTCCTCCATTTACGAGGGCGACCGGCATCGCCGAAAGCGCGCAATATGTGACGTCTTTGGTCCTGGGCTTACCACTGGTCAGAGCCGCTAAAAGCTTTTTTTTTAGTCGAAATACAAAATATAAGTGTCACGAACCGTTTCAGTTATGTATGAAAGTAGTTTTTGTTTGGTAATTTAGATCAGAAAAGAAACAAATGCAGTTTATAAAGTATGGAAACAAGAAAAGACTCGTCGACAAACCCGCCACCAAGCGGTGGAAAAAACGGCGCATACTAGAAAAGGCTTGTGGGATGAGGCTCCGACGAACAGCGAGCGTGAAAAGGTCCCGGATGTACGCGGCGGCGCTGCAGTCGTATACCGGATCGAGGATTCGACCGGTTCCGAGCGTTCCGAAGGCTTTCAGCATGGGCTTGGCTGGCGATTTGGCCGTTTGGCGGTATGGCAGCGCGTAGTGGCTCCCGTTCTGAACTGATCTTTACGCCGTGTTTGCTGTAGTTTGTGGCCAATGAAGTGTTATGCCAAATTAGTCTTTAACCGCGCAGCAAATGCAATGCAAGCCGCCCTGGCCACCCGCCTCATACAGCGTATCCAGAATATGCCTTAGTGGCGCCCTCTCGAGCCGTCGACACGGAGAGCAGCAGCCGTGAGCGCTCGATGAGCTCACTACTCCTCTAGTTCACGGCCACTCAAGCCAGGACCTACGACGTCATGAAAGAGGTTATTTTTTGTTTGTTTTTGTAATTCTAAATTGCCTATAACTTTTAAAATAAAGCGAAATTTGAGAAAAGATTAAGTTACTACGTTCAGTGCGCTCAAGTTCGGTGCAAATTAAAAACCAGTCAAAAAGTTGTTGCAGGGCCCCCTTTAAGCAAAGTTTCGTCGACAACATCTTTTCTTTTCCAGTGTTAATGGTGAAAAATAAATGACGTAAATATTGCCAAATGCCTCGACAAAACAAAATGTTTGAGAAAAAGATTTTAAAAAGTAAGCCCACACTTGGATCGAATCCGGGTCCGCTGCCTATGAGGCGAGCTATGCTACAATTTCCAATAAGCTACGCTACAACTTCGAAAAACTCGTTTTGACAATTCGCTTTACATAAGACATTCGGACGGTACTTGAAGACGTGAGTGGAGTGCCACTGCAAGGCACGTGAACGTTCTGCAAGAGTGCCGTCGGACAATACTCGACACTACATTATATATATACCGGGTGTTTTTGCGAAGACTTTCAAAAATCCTAAAAATTAGGGCGATTGAAAAAAGAAGAAACTCTCTTCGGGAACAAACTACCAGCCAAGGCGGACGTCAGGAATTGCCAAAAACCTACTAATTAGCCAGATAATTAATTAAAACTTGTTAATTAACTTTTTAATTAGGGGAAATAGACATATGGTTTCAATTAGAAAGTTGCTGAGCGTTATCGAAAACCACAAAATCAGTCATTTTCAGAAAGACTTTGAACGCGTGAGACGAGTAGTAGCGCACTGAAGTTGCCACTCGTGGAGCAGGTACAAGGTTAGCGTTTGCGGTAAGGCGCCCGCGCGATTTTTCCGCCTCTTATCTAGCCCCAGCCTTGTACCTGCTCCACGAGTGGTAATTTTAGTGCGCTACTACTCTTCTCAAGCGCTTAGTCTTTCTGAAAATGACTGATTTAGTGGTTTTCGATAACGCTCAGCAACTCTCTAATTGGAATCATATGTCTATTTCCACTAATTAAAAAGTTAATTAACAAGTTTTAATTAATTATCTGGCTAATTAGTAGGTTTTTGGCAATTCCTGCCGTCCGCCGTGGCTGGCAGTTTGTTCCCGAAGAGAGTTTCTTCTTTTTTTAATCGCCCTCATTTTCAGGATTTTTGAAAGTCTTCGCAAAAACACCCGGTATATCTTTTTGTAATTACTCAAAGCGCGTTTTTTCCCACAACCTTCACAATACACTACAGCCAGAGGGCTACCAAATAACTGCAACATATACAGCATTTTGTATAAAAAGTTCGTGCCTTAGTCAAAAAAGAACTCTTCGAAAGCAACATCAACAATGCAGAGAAACGAACCTGATTTCGAACACCCGCAGTGAAAGCAAACGGGGTGCAAATACGAGCGCCAGCACATAATGGGTACAATAGCAGTCATGGGTTCCGCGAAACACACCGCCTGGTTAGGTGGTACCACAGCCGTACCGCCGTACCAAGGCGCCACCCGATTTGTAGAACTCGCCTTGTCCACCGATCCACGAGATAAAGCTCCCGATACAGTTACGAAGTCCCCCCCCCCCCCCCCCCCCCCCCTCCGGCTTCGGTGGGACCTTCGCCTCTGTGTGCGTTCCCGCAATCTATCTGACTGCTCGCTCATTGACAGGCCGTGGTGACAGGTCGGTTGCGGGACTTCCTCGGGAAAAGCTCGAAGGTCATCCCTTGCGCAAAGCACGTGTGCGACAAAGAGCCCCACACGTTCGCCGCGTTCGCCTTCACGCTTCCTACACACACACACAAGGACACTTCACAAACGCTCCGAAAAGCACTGTAAAAGTCAAGCGAATAGGCGAGTACTCACCAAGTAGACACAAAACCCACAGCTCGGTTTATGGGCACGGCGACATCTGAGACACTTTTTGTTTTTCGGAGAACGTTCTTCGAAGGCACTAAAGGCCTGAAACTGCCCGAAAGTTTGCAGCTTGCTTTGTTTTTGATTTTGGTTACGCTGGCGATGGCGTCGCGGCCGACGCGGCGACGTTCGCTGGTTGCGACGAAACTCATTTGACGCAACGTGAATGTTTCTGTTTTAATCGACATACATTAGAACTTTTAAACGTAAAAAATTTGTTTAAACATTTATCTAATTCTTTGTAATGAAGTATGTTGGTTGTGTACTAAACTGAACCTTGGCCTGTCTCAGCTTCGTCGTATACTAAACTGTAGCTTGGCTAAAGTGAACTAGAGGAGGGGTAGTGAGATCAGGCGCCGAGGCGCGCCATGCATTGCTGTGAAACGGCGCATGTGGAAAGGTCCCGGATGTACGCGGTGGCGCTGCGGACGTAGTGGCTGTAGGATTCGACCGCCTGCGAGCGTTCCGGAGGCCCTGAGCGCGCAGCTTCGGCTTGCGTTTGGTCGATTTTGCAGCGTTTGCAGCTCGAAGTTTGCCCCCATTTTGAACCGCTCTTCACCCCGTGTTACCCGTGTCTGCTGTCGTTTATGGCCAATGAAGTACCATGCCGAATCGACGTCGACAACGCCACTGCTTCGCTCCGGCGTGCCAGACAGGCTATCAATGGCGGAAAGGTGAGGAGCCGTCGCTGTTCTCAGTACCCAAGGAGGAAGAAGAAAGAAAACTTTGGGAGCGGAACTTGCATCGCAAGGATAAGCTCCTCGACGAAACCTGTTCGGTGTGTGAGCTTCATTTTGAGCCATCGTTTATAACGCGAGACTTCGTTCACGTTGTAAACGGAGAAGAGGTGCGCATTCCGCGCGGAAAGCCGCAGCTCTTGCCTGGCGCTGTGCCGACGTTGCTGCCGAATGCTCCGAGCTACCTGTCAAAGAAACCGTCGCAGCCGAGGCCCCCGAGAAAGCGGAAGAACGCCGATGCTTCCTCAGTTGACGGTAAAAAAAAGCAAAACACTGCCTCTCCAACTGCCTGCAGCAGCACTGGCAGCACCACACCGGTTGCAACCGATACCGGGGCGTTTGATGAAGCTGATGAAGCCTGTATGCCCGAAGAATACTCCAAGCTGTGTGTCCCCTCCGAGTACTGGAGCTGTCACCGAGTTCCGAGCCTCAGTGGTCTCGTGTATTGTAAACTTAAAATGTGTGACAATGAAGTTTTATCCGAGAGAGTAGTTATTTTTTCACGAGACAGCAGGCCTGGAGTTGTATACACTGTTCATCTTTGTGGCCGCATGGCTGAAGGAGGACGCGTCGTCAGCGGCGAGGAAGCGGAGGTTCTTCTCCGAGACGTCGACTCGTATCGTCTCTGTGGAGGTGCCGTGCCGACGAGCGACGTGCCAAGATCCTACCTCACAAAGGGCCTTGAGGGGCAAGTGGTCACCCGTGAGGGCACATACTTCAGCAACCGCTGCACAGGAAAAGAACCAACTGAAGGTGTGTATCAGTGCCACTTGGGAAGAATTAAGAATGTCATGCCAACATCGTCTTTGTCAAATCGAACATAGTAAATTGCGATGTCTGATGCATTGTTATTTAAGCTGAAAGATGTTTTTGGTTTCAATTTAAAATGTTTTCTTTTTTTCTTCACAGGACAAGCATGCATCTCCTGCCGATACCTGAGAAAGGCGCTTCTAACACGGCGGTCAAGGGTTCAGCGATCAGTCAAGAAGCACGTCCGAAGCATCACTCAGAAGCTCCGTGCGGCTGCACAAAAGAACCGAAGACTGTTGTCTCGCAATGCTAACCTCCAAGCCCAGCTCAAGCAAATGCAGGATTATAATGCCTCGAAACCTGACGAAGTACTACAGGCAGAGATTGCAACCTTGCCTCCCAAGCAGCAAGAATGCGTTAGGCAGTGTTTTTCAGCAGCAAAGAAGAGAAGCTCGAAGGGAAACACCTACTGAAAGGACTGGGTTCTGGAATGTACCATGATGAAAATGAAAAGTGCCAGGCTGTATGAACATCTTCGCAAACACGACATCATTTCCCTACCAAGCAAAAGTACCTTGAAGCGCTACCTCAGAATCTACAAGAGCGGGTATGGTTTCAATCACAAGGTGCTGAAACAACTAAAGCAGAAAACGAGGCACATCAGTAGCTTTAAAAGACGTGGTGGCCTTTTAGTGGACGAGATCAAACTTTCTGAGCACCTCACTGTAACACCTTCTGGACACATTGAAGGCTTCGTTGACATGGGACCTACTGACTGAGGGGCAGAATGTTGTCTGTGACCATGGCATGATCATCATGTTCGTCCCTTTCACTGGTAAATGAATTCAAATTATAGATGCGTTTGCCACCAATGGAAATGCCAAGGCAGAGGAGCTTGCAAAAGTTCTAATAGAGGCTACAATCCTGGCTGAAGCAAGCGGACTCATTGTTGATTTCCTCACTTCAGACGGTGCTTCATGGAACCGTCGAATGTGGAAAATCTTGGGAATCGGCGTTAAGTCAGGGAAAGTTACCTGCAAGCTTGAGCACCCTGTTGATTCATCTCGGCATCTCCATTTCCTGTCAGATTTTCCTCATTTACTCAAGTGCCTCAGGAATACGCTTCTCAAGTATCCATTGAACACCCCGGATGGAATGGTATGTGTTATTACTTCGTAACAAAACAAGCACTTTGCAATTTTGCTCTTTCTGATCTCGCGTTTCTTGCTATGCCGATGCAGAGTCATTTCATAAAAGCTATTATCAAAAGCATTTATATACTCGTGCTTAAACACGCATGTCTTTATGTGAAAAAGGCAATATGGATGCAATATGTTACCACTACTGTTTCAGGTCTCCATGCGGCCTGTAAGGGAAGCATTCAAGAAAGACTCAAGCAATGTCACCCTGAAGGCGATGCCCGGTCTTACATCTGTCCACCTTCAACCAAATGGATTTGAAAAAATGAGGGTGTCCTTCGCCTTCCAACTCTTCGGAGACCGTGTCATCAACGGACTCCAGTTCTTCCAGGATGAGCTAGAGTCCTCGTGAAGCAGCTTCGATGCAACATTGTCCTTCTTTAGGTAAGCAGAAACCTGCTAATCAGTTAGTTTGCTGCCCTTTGACCTAATGAACCCGTCGGAGAAATAATGAAAACACGTGCTAAGTACCTTTGAAGGACTACCTGAGAGAAAATTTCTATTTGTTAAGTCTGTAGCCTGTGTTTACATTCCGGTATAATATTTTTAATTTTTACTGAGCAGAGCATGAAAATTTAATTTGTCTATCGCAGCAGTTTTGACTTGTATAGACAATGGGAAGTGCTAGCAAACTGTATGAGTCTATTTGTATTCTTTCAGAACCATCAACAGCCTGATCAAGATCATGACTTCACGCTTCACAGCAAAAGCTCTGCGTCCAGGGTCCAAAGAAGTGGAGTTCTTGAAGGAATTTCTTGATATTTTGTCTTCTTGGGAGTTCCATGCAAAAGGAGTGGGGGGATTTTTGAGCGACTCCACAGCAGATGGCCTTAGGGTCACAGTATCCAGCACTTTAGCTCTCTTAGATTACCTCACAGCACACGGTTTCAGTTACCTCATGACATCTCGGTTAAGTCAGGATCCCCCTGAAAATTTATTTGGGATTGTCAGACAATCTAGTGGCTCCAACGACCATCCAACGCCAACGTAATTCTTAATTATTGTCAACTGCCTGTCTTTTTATAATTTGGCAAAAGTAGCAAGCTCGGGCAACGCCGAAGTCAATGAAGATGTCAGTTCTTTGCTCAATGCATCTGATGGCTCAACTGCAGAAGCCAAAGTTGCCGAAATCGACAAACAGATTGAGGCGGGAAACTTGGGGTCCGCAGAGTGCATGCTCCGTAGCGTTTCTAGCGAACACAAAGCATACGTAGAGCAAAAAAGTGATTCCCGGTTAATACATTACATGGCAGGGTATGTAGCTCGCAGGTTCCTTGCCCGCAGCAATTGTTCAGAGTGCCGCAGCCTTTTTTTGGGGAGCTCTTCCGACAAGGAAAACTGCGGGTTTACGAAAATTTGCGACAAAGGTGGACTTTTGTATCGTTCCCACGCTCTCTTCCTCGCCGTGAAGAAACTGGAGGATATTTTTACTTTCTTTTTCAGTAAAACGAAGCTGTGCAGCAACAGCATTGTCGATATTATGTTGCTGGTGGAATCCCGCTTCCGCCATACCATAGGCTGCAGCCAACATGCAAGTGTGCTCACAGCAGCATTGGTAAAGTTTTACGTTTTAACAAGGCTTCACTTTTATGTGAAAGGGCTGAACCAGTGGCGAGAATCACGTAGAAAAAAAAAGATGCACACAAAAATCAGTCGCTGCTCTTAGCTATAATCGCTCCAAACACGCCCTACGTTGCCCTTCGAGTGTGATAGAAATGTAAATACTGTAAACGACTTAATTTTGGCGAATCGCCTACAAATTGCGAAAAATGGGTCCCTCGAACAATTCCGGTAAAATGTAAACACATTGGAATCTATAGTGAGATCCCACCGTGTCGCAAAAATTAGGTCCCCCAAACAATTCCGGTAAAATGTAAACACATTGAATCTATAGTGAGATTCTACCGTGTCGCGAAAATTAGGTACCTCGAACAATTCCGGTAAAATGTAAACACATTGGAATCGATAGTGAGATTCCACCGTGTCGCGAAAGTTAGGTACCTCGAACAATTCCGGTAAAATGTAAACACATTGGAATCGATAGTGAGATCCCACCGTGTCGCGAAAATTGGAACCCGCGAATTATTTCAAAACTTTAGCTTTGACCTAAAAGCTGAATCTAAGAGAGCTTAAGTGCTGGATACTGTGACTCTGTGCTGTGTTTATGAATTTCTCTAAGGCTTTTGACGGTTCCTCACCAGCGGTTACTAAAAAAGTTAGGCAGTCTAGATCTTCACCCTATGTACACCAATTGGATCCTTAATTTTCTCTCGCACCGAACACAATCGGTAATTTTCAACAAAGGAACTTCTAATACAATAAATGTAATATTTGGAGTTCCACAGGGCTCAGTTCTTGGAACGCTTCTTTTTCTTGTTTATATCAATTTTCAGAATCGCCTTTGCAATCAGCCATTAAAGACTGGAACAGTCTACCTGAATCCGTTGCGGGTCTGGCGGACGTCGCTCTTTTCAGAGACGCCTGTGAAACATTGTTCAGTGACTTTTTCTTTAGGCGTACTGTGCGAGCACCACCTGTATTTTATACCTTTATAGGTATGTGCACTTGCGTTACCACTGACTGTCGTCTGCTTGGTTAGTTGAAGCATACTGTATACCTACTTTTTTTCTTTTAAGTATGTGCTGATGCTTTGTCTTTCTCACATTCGCGTGTATTTTGTATTAGAATTTAGTCAGCTTGTACCCTCCCCCCTCATTTAATGCCTTCGGGTGACTTGAGGACAATAAATGAAATGAAATATATGTAATCGCAAAATATTGAGCCCACCAAAAATAAGTCGTTTACAGTATTGTGTTTTTGCTGAGTTTAACTAATAAAAAGTGTATTCATGTATAAATAACAGTTTGCTGTCTCACGAGTTCTTTTTGTCCAGCAGTATTTACCCAACAGGTTTCTTTGAAATTGGCTTAACGAGACGCATAATGATGAATCAATAAAGGAGATTAAGCATTGGGAGTAGCTTTGCACGGCTTCTATATTAGGGATAAAAGGCATGGCCTGTTGAAACGATCGCATGCCATCCTTGAGGCTTGAGGTGTGATTGTTTAAATATCTAGGAACCATCAGTATGATCCTGTCTCAATAATATAACTAGCAATTTATGCGGCGAGTGAAGGATCTTGCCCATTAAATAGCTTCACCCTGTTTCTAATGACAGGCTCCTAACAAATTCACCTGCCATTAAATAAAAAGTGCAAGAACACTTTGGTTTCGAAACGCCGCCCAGGAAATTGGTCAGGCGGTGTTCGCCTTCCACGTCGCGCATTTCTGCTTCGTACCCCGCGCAAAGCGAACACTGCGTCTATTTTGTGTCGCGTATTTCTTTTAAGGGGTTCGGACCTAAAACGGCAAACATTTCGAGCCGAAAAGCTTCAACAAAGAGTCTTCAGTCGCGCAGCGAAAGCAATGCGAGCCGCCCCGGCCACCCGCTTCATCCAGCCCATGCATTCGCGACGCCCTCTCGTGCCGTCGACACGAAGTGCGGCCGCCGTCAGCGCGCTCTGACCTTACTACCCCCCTCTAGTTCACTTTAGCTTGGCTTGCCTCAGCTTGGTTTTATTTCAACATGGCGGCGACAATCGTTGCGTGCTGTTACGGCTGTTACACTGTAGTGCTGTGTTGTGCTCAACCTATTTTCTGTGCATTGGTCGTCCTGT